AATCCACCGTAAAAGCACTTTAGTCTGATGATCGCCTTTGTGCGTGAAACTCGAGTAACTTTTATCGTAAATAGGTTTAGGTTTTATTAAATTATCTTCAGATATCATGTCTTAGTCTACACTAATAATAGTTTTGCTCTGCAAAATCTTACCTGCATTGAGCGCTCTTCAGATACGTGTCAGCATCGACAAACAAGATATATATATATATATATATATATATATATATATATATATATATATATATATATATATATATATATATATATATATATATATATATATATATATATATATATATATATATATATATATATACATAATGAAAGGCTTTAGTATTTTTTTATAGTAAAAGACCGAGGTGAAGTATTTTGGTTGTAATTTTCTTTGACCAGAACTATTAAAGGGGGAACTAAAATTTCGATTTGTATAGACAGGACGTCGTTAGTTACGCATAATATATGACAGTGACAATGTATAAGCTCAAGTTTCCTGTTTCCTCTACTTACACAACAAAAGGCTTAAGTATTTTTTTTACAATAAAAGACGTAATTTGTTTTTAATTATCTTTGTTCAGAACTATTAACAGGGTGGCGACAAGTTTCAATTTCCCCCACAAATTTGCAATGGTATAGTTATATACATGCAATATTGAGATACTGATCTGCATGTTCTAACTTCTATTTGGGTTTGCCAAGCCATGGTACGGACCCAAAACCCGAGTCACACATGAATACTGCAAGCCATGTTTCGCAGAAAAGTTTGAAACGAATATTATATGTAAGGCGATAACTTGTTCTTGTAACGAACCTTCAATTTTGCACGTAACTGTTTAGCAAATTCTCCAGACTGCCAGAAATAGGAAGCATATTACGTGATTTACGGGCATTGAGCATCATATTGTAAAAAATTTTCTGGGGGTAAACCCCCTACTTTTTCTACAATTTTTAAAATACATTATTATTGCAATTATCAGTGTCGCTTTGACCAACTTGCATGATATTATGATAATGCAGCAAGTAGGCGCTCTTGGTTTAGAAAGCTGGTTTAGTTAACTTGGTTTCCTCCTGTACTAAATACGTCCTAATTACACTGGACCAATAATGAATGGTCTTTACTGCATGGACCTTCTGGGAGAAGAGTTTAGAACTGATATAAGCTAATGTTTCGGCCTAGCTTCTGTATATACACTTGCACTACTTACATTGTGATAATAAAGGGCTTTAGTGTATAGTAAAAGGGCTTTGTATAGTAAAAGAGCTTTGGTATTTTATTTACAATCTTCGTTGTTCAGTCAGAACTAGAAGGGCTTCAAAGTACCCAAATGTCAAAGATCAGTCAAAGCTTAAAGTAATCAATTACTTAGATGCATGCTTATATGACCGCCCCATACAGAATCATACATTTTATTTATATATGATTGAAATAATAACATAAATTTAGTGAGTGAATTTTCTCGGGGAGGGCAGTTTCCCCTGCTGCGTACTGCCCTGCATGACTCCCCACAAGCTTGCCGAATGGTAGTTATAGTTTTGTAATTCTTTAGAGAGATATTTTGCACTATTTGGGGGTTTGCAAGCCACACTAGGCACCCAAAATTTGCAAGTCACACATGAATACTGCGAGTCATGTTTCGCAGAAAAGTTTGAAACGAATATTAAAAAGGTTCAAACTGTATTACTGCACTATGTTGGGAGACCCTCATAACTAAATATAGAGGCCCAAAATTTTATGAAAGGTCAGTGTTTTGCGTAACAAAAGCTGTTATAACTGATCATGTATCTTGACTTGATATATTGTTTCGGTAATGACACTTATATTATAAATTATAAGGTCAAACGAGGATGAGAGATGGCAATCACGAATTATAGGGAAAGCATTTCAGACTCTAGATTAACAAAAATAAACGTTTGATGAGTCTTCCAAGGAAAAACTATGTTTTTCTATATGTTTTACTTAAGTTAAATAGAATCCATGATATAGTGTTGGGAGATCATCAAGAACAAAGAACAGTTAACCAAGGTCGCTGCCAACATATGACGGTGCACTCTCATCTTCGTCAACAAAGAAACACCATTACCGGATTATACCCTAATTTATTGAATCCCGAATGAAAATCCCTTTGTCTTTGAGAGGTATCTTTGGAGTCATTACCAGATGGAAAATACAAATTACAAATCCTGCTAAAAGATAAAACTGATAATGCCTGGTTTATAAACGTCTAAAACTGATTTTCAAACGTGTGGTGGTGCGTAAAACGGAGTTTAATAAATTAACTATGTTCAAAAATAATCCTTTCGCAAAAAAACGCGATTTTAGCGCTACTTTACTTACGGACACACGACGTTTTACACACGACAAAAAGGAAGCTATCGAATGCCAAGGCACAGCGCGATATTATGTTAACATTTCGAGCGCTTTCGTTTATTTTTCATGGTTAGACTCAGTCCATCTTTTACAAATTACTGAGTCCATGTTTTTTGAGTCCAGTCTATGTTTTACAACATGCCCTTGAACGAGCGGACATGATGAGTCGGAGCGGATATGATGACTCAGCCTCACGGATTTGAAGTTCATTTCCCCCCAATGTCGAAACCTTAAAAAAGGACTCTGTCTCTGGATCCTGAGGTACATTTGCTTTAGCAACAAAAACGAAGAACATTTGCAAATATTCACACACATACTTTATGCATGGCACTGCATGAAACGATGACATATATAATATATTGTAGTAGGACATTATACGAACATTAATAAAAAATCCTTGCCAACACATTAAAAATTCCTATCACAGTAGTAATAAAAAACAACAATTCTCGGTGTTTTCAACACAAACAAACTGGTTCGTGAAATACTACGCAAGTTAGTGGAACGACAAACACTTGCAACGTATAGTGTGTTTAGTTACGCGATTCCGGTAAACACTTTGAGGCCCCAGTTACACGACGACTGCACGACTGCATTCCGGTTTGGCACGACATCAACACATGCCGTTTAGGAGTAATGTCTGCTCACAAAATTTCTCCCTTTAAATTGTTTTCGTTTTATTTTGTCCTATTATCGCAATTTTAAGTGATAAGATATTCATGAAACCGTTAAATTCGATGTCGTGACAAGCGGTGCGATATCGTTATGAGTATGCGAAAGTACTTCAGAAGAAAAGACAAAAGAGATTGTCTTGACGTCAAGCCTACAAGAGGTCAAATTGATCTCTTTGCCTTTGGGGGGAAACGTAGTTAGGTATTTACCGGTTACTGAGCATACATATATAGCCTGCCCCAAGCGCGAAATTCACACATAAAGCCACAACGTGGCACTGAGGAAAGAGGCTGCATAAACAGTACACGGTTTCAATCGTCAAGACTTGAAACATGTATAATTCTCTGTTAAAGCTTGTGTTTGTAGCTTATCTGTATGTGTATAGTACAGAGGCCAAGCGTTGCTATGGTTCGGCAAATTATACTCTCACACGCAGAGGAACATGGACATTAGAGAGGCATCCAAATTCCCCTTTGCTCCGAGGTTTCTCGCCTACCGTGGGCTGCAGTCATAATTATCGCTATGTGATGTGGAGACAAGGGATAAAGGCGACCACAGGAGTTAAAGATTTGTCAGAAATGGGTATGTATAGTTCCTTATATGTTACTTGAAAGCTTTTATAGGTAGTCACACCCATATCAACCCATATTCAAGGACAGGCGTGACGTTCTAACAACTGAGCTTGACAACACTCCACACTTTCGCTTATCCAGATCTCTAAAATTTTACTTGCGAATTCAATCTTCTAAACTGGGAGAGTTCACATGAATCACATTTGTAATAAAAATAAAACTTTTTTGTCATGCTTGGCTTCCTTGGCCAGGCTTGCTCATGTTATTCCCACTATAGCGGATCAAAGAGAGAACAATTTAGCAAATTTAGGCTAAACCAAACCTTTATTGATTTTCAGGTGACATAACTGCACTAAACGCAGAAATGGACATTCAAATAGCATTGAAGAAAGCATTTAAGAGATACAGCGGTACTATTATGGCCGGTGGCACTTCCAACGACACTATCCTTAATATCAAAGTCAACTCGCAATATCCTCTCGTGTCCTTCATCGCCATGTTAGCCCCCTCACCAGATTGGTTTCATGGTGTGCATGATTTAAATTTATGCAACACATGGACGGGAAAATGGCGAAATCGAGTGGTGAGAAAATTGTTTCCCTATGATGCGGGCACTGATAGCGGAGTTAATTTCACAAGTCCCAATGACGTCACCAATCCGCCTGTAAATATTCGCCGTATTACACATGATATTGAAGGTTCATTCCAAAGCGACAGGCCCATCCCGAGTGTTGGAACATTCATCTTTGTGAAGACCTCGGAAAAAAAGAGAAAAAAGACACACCGAGTGAGATGCCTGTCGAGGGTTCCCCGCGTGAGGTGCCTGTTGAGGAAGCTGCCTTGGAGAAGACATTGGAAAACACGCAGGACACGTCGACATGTCCACAAATTCCCATACTAACAGCTAACCCAGACTTCAATATAACTCTCGCTCTGATGTTATGCATCTTGAACATCATTGGCTATCTATAAATTACTTGACAAACTCTCACTTTGTAATCTTCATACCGTAATAAATATACCTGTTACCTTGAATGTATATCATAATTGCAATAATAATATAATTAAAATTTGTAGAAAAAGTAGGGGGTTGGAAAAGTTTTCGAAGGGGTAAAATTTTTTTGGAAACCTTATATATATAGTCTTGCATTTTCAACTATCATCTTACATATTTCTTGTTTTAACATTTACTTCCCCCAACTTTTACTGGGGGGGGGGGGG